TGGATAATTTGGCTACAAAAAAATTTAGAGATAAAAAATATTCAACAGTATAAAGAGTGCTGTTAAATTAAATCATCTAAAATATGAAAATACAATTATTTGTAGCACTACTTTCCATTTCATATACATGTTTCTAACTTCACAGACAAATTCGATCGTGTCATTATGATTATAAAAAAATTTCTGTAAATAAAAAGAAATTTCACTGAAGTTTATTGAAATGTAATATTACTGACATCAAGCAAAACTGTCACAGTTTTAACTGCTTTTCAAATTCCAAGGCAAAACAAAACATTCAATCACTGAAACCTGTTTTCTACACCATCTTTCTTTCATATTTCTTTCATTATCTACAAGTCTATATAAAGATATACCCATATATATAGTATGTACAACAAATTCCATATAAGGCAAAAGACTTATTGCCTGTAACAAATCTATAGTCAGTAACAAGACACGCTAGTAAATAATACAGATTTACATTCTTATTAAGGACCCTTCAAAAAACTACTCTATTTATGTCAGTAAAACAACAAATATTTGTGGTTTTCTGCATTTGATAATGCTACTATCAACATTTATTGAAACTTACGGATAAATTTCAAAATCTTTTGGTTTTTGACATATACGTACCAACGCTGTACCAACATCTATCTGAACTACACATGGAAGTAATTCCCCCCCCCCCTTATTTGTTTTCTACCTTTCAGTAAGATCACTCAAACATAATCCAACCATACATAAAAAAGTTCATATTTGCATTTTTTATCATCACTTTAAAATTTTAACACAGACTTGCTAATCAAATGTAAAATATCATCAAGGAACAAAAAATCTAAAAAAAATTTATATACTACAAGTCATCAATGCCCCCCATTCTATTGCATAGAAGAGTCATTGGTTGATGAATTTGCAGAGGAAGATTTTGAAAGTGACCTTTGACTCTTTGAACTTTGACATTAGACTACCTTAAGATACTATGAGGTTCTGCTGAGAGGTTCTCAAGATATAACATTAATGGTCAAGAGCATAAACTTGCACAAGCACAGTCAAAGAAATCAACTACAAAAAAACTGCAAAAACCAAATTCTGCAAATAATTTCAAATTTTCATTGAACAGCATTATACAGTTATTTCCCTTCCTATATGTAAAGTAAATGGTTGAAAAATTCCAAAGTTGTTCAACATTTTAATATACTTATTGAACATTTTCAAATTACAAGTGTATGAGGCACTGATAATGAAAATTATTTCATTCCAATTCAACATAACTACTATCAAAATATAGCAATACAAAGCAGAGACTGTGCTCACATCAGCTGTCTTTTTCTCTATAACACGAAGCATCTTTCTATACATCTGTTTTTAGATTTCAAGACCAAACCAAGATAAGAATTTTTCGCATTTTAAAACAATGAGTTTCAAAAAGTTCAAGAACCACAATAGAGTATATATCAATATGCATATAAAAATCCACTTCATAAACTTTGACAATTAATTGAACTTTTAACCAATGAACATAAAATAAAACAGAATTGTTGGATCTGTCACTTAGTCTAAATCATGCTCAAATTCATAAACTTATTACTTAAACCACAAATTCTCACTATTTATAAAAACAAGATGATGAAATGAAGAAAATTCTTCACTAGCTAACCCTTTTCCAAAACAGACAGTAAGCCTAGGGGGCAAACATATACAATTTGAAAGAAAATTGCTGAATATATTCTTGGGAATATATTTGGGAAATTTGGCCAGATTATGAATTACAACTGGAAAGAGGGCTCATATTCAGCCCCAGAGGGCCCCTTCAAAAAAGTCCTGATCACTGTTTGTAAAACATGTTAAAGGTTTATCAGACTTAAAAGGAAAATTTCATATTTTCTTTCTTTGCTTGATCATAACAGGATATCATTACCTACCTAAACAAACATGTCTAGTCACAAGACAGTTTGGCACACATTGCAATAACCATCTATTTGTGATCTTTTAACACTGGGCTTATTACCAGACACAGACTTATTGCTGAATAAAAACAGGAATCATATATATAACTGACTGAAAAGTTGTTCGAAATTTCAACTTTCGTTTTTTGCACAGAACTGCTGGCATTCACTCTGGCAGGAATATTGAATACAGAAATTGTAAATTATATTCTACAGATGAAAAAAAAAATTGGTAAACTGACAGATAAAGAAGACTAACACTGATTATACTTTATGGTATATCCTCCTCATCATCATATCATGGTTTGTGATAAATTCTGTGAAACTTGTTTTAACAAACAACACTCACTGCAATACCTATCATACTTAGGATCAATCTCTCAAATCCACAAATAGTTTCTGTTCAATAATTACACGGTCAAATCTGTACACAATATGATATACTCACTTATTCAAGATGATATAATTTTTACATAGTCCTTCAACGAAAAAAACCCAACAAATTAAAATATCGTAACTTCTAACTTGGCAGTTAGAGACAAATCAACAAATATAGAGAATATTATAATTCTTTACCACATGAAAAATAAATCTGTATACAACAGGAATTTTCATGTTTGATTCACATCTGACTTCTGATCATGACCCTCAACACACTTTTAAAACCTGGTTTTAAATATCCCCAAAAAACACAGATACTTTCTGACTGTAAAAATTACATCCCTTTGAAACAGTAAAACATTTTTGCAACGACAGAATATTTCACAACAGTTAAGTTTTAACATAAAAAAAGAAAGAGGGAAAAAATAAATCTGTACATTGCATGAATGTTATATAACTGTGCGGAAAGAAAATGATCTGTATCGTCGCAAGAGTTATCTGCTCTTTGCAAATGGAAATGATTGCCACATGTAAAACAGTAAAATATACATGTATATGAAAACTTAAACCTGTGATAAAAAAGTATTTCAATAACTTACCCATAAGAATGCTCAACATTGATTATGATGAATTCCTGATAAAACTACACAATGGTAAATTTGATCCGTCTTCATGTTTTTATTCTTGAATTTTTTAAAACTTGTCCTTACTTCTTGGCTCATCATATTCAAGTAACTAAATTTGACCAAATACTACATACTTGTTTCTCTATAAAGATAAATCTTAAAATAGTGTTTTCAACAATTCACCATTCAATAATGTGCAACAAGCTGAAGTCAATGAAACACCAATGTAGCACCTACTAAAGTTTTTTCATAAATTATAATTTATATTTGATTTTTCCTATCAAAAATAGGAAATAAAAATATGAAAAGAAATTTTTTCTTCAGATTTTGGATTCTGTTTAGATATATGTTTTTCACAAAAACCAATTTGGATTTTGAAAAATATTGTATACCTCTACAAGCGTATGAATAAAATCACCAAAAATGGTCTTCATTTTTAAATCTCACATTGACTTCTCACAAAACAATGGGGAAAAAACAAACAAACTTGTGTTCAAAGTACAATTTGAACACCCTAAGAAACTGAGGCTTTTAACATGGTATATACAAAATTGTTTTATATATTTAATTTAATTAAACATCCTTCTAAACAAAACTAGTCCCAAACTATATGTCTTCTTTTAAACTTTGTAATTTTAAGATAATGTTGTTGGTACAATGTAGTTTATGAAGCTAGTAGCTCATTAATTGGTAACCGGAGTCAATATCTAGGTCAGTGAATGATTTATTTTATGTTTGATTTTAACTAATAATTTACGGGTTGAAGTTTCCTTTCTTGAGGTTTTAATTTTGCAGTGCTCAGAAGTATTTGATTAGAAACAAGAAATAATAACCAGGATTCAGCAATAACCCATAAGGACAGGATCAGTCAATGGGAAACCATCTATAGGTTTCAAATGACAATAGTGGGACAGAAATCAACAATGGCATGACCAGCTCTCAAAGTCAAATTCTATCGACCTCAACTCATTAACAATCAACCTTCTCAAGAATCACAGATGTTTTTATTTATCAAATGACATATTAAAATTTAAATTCTTTGTTGTAGTTTATTTTTTCTTTCCAAGTTCTGTACCTAATTTAATCTATCAGATTCCTTTTTAATGTGAAAAAAAGCATCCTTCAGTCTAGTTCCGTGCTACAACACTATACACCCAATAAAAAAAATACTGATCTAGATATAGCTTGGTTAAAATATGCCATTCTCAGAAATTCAAAACTATACTCAAAACAGTGTTTGTTTCTTCTAACTGGAACATGTTGAATGTAGCAAAACCACATTTGGGAAGACTATCATAAAGGCAAACACAAAAAAATAAATCTGAACTACTCTTTAAATAAATCAAACATGGACACTGTAACAGCATTATAAAGGTCAAACAATACCATTTAAAAGCAAATCACAGCATTCAATAAAAGTATGAAAGATTTCTTCTAGAATTGAAGGACAACAAAATTTCTCAGATCAAACCCACACATCCACATACAGGCATGTAAAAAATATAATTTCATTTGCTTATCACCAACAATAATTTTCAATAATCTTACTTTGAGATACAAAAGGGCAGGTAGGTTAATTATCAGAAAAGTACAATATACATTAAGATCACTCACACTATGTTTAGAAATTAATACTTAACAGAAAATAAATGCAGACAAGACCTCTGGAACATGGTAACAGCAGTTCTGTTAGTCTTTGCTGTATAGGTGCTTCCTTTGTCTGTGGTTTGAAGTTTTTACAAAAGAAACATGCCTGATCACAGACAAATATTTAATGATGCAACCCAATCTCTGTTTCCCTGCTTTTGCGTTTGGTCCATTATAACACCTATGGAGTGTTCAGTAGATGGTGATGAATGTTCATTTCTCAATTACTAGTAGAGGGCATTCGTTATCTGTGTAATACTGACCTGAAATAGCTGACCGGCATCGACCTCCGTCACAGAAGGTTGAGGTATCAATATGTGCTATATCACCCAACATTTTTTTCCCTGTCCATATTGATACTGTCTATGGCAGTCTTGATGGATGCCTTACCATCACACTGTTATTCCATCGTTGGTGCCAGACCTAAATTCTGCTCTTTATCTCCATCCTGTTCATCCATGGATTCTTCCTCTTCACTTTCACTCTCAGCTTCTGAATCTGATTTTTCAGAACCCTCCATGTTATTCTGTCTGTCTTCATGATCTCTAGATCTACCTTGATTTTCCATTTGTGCTTCTGGTTCTACATGTTCTTCCTCCTCTTCCTCCTCCTCTTCTTCTTCTTCCTCTTCTTCTTCTTCCTCTTCCTCCTCTTCCATGCCTGTTTCTTTTCTGGTCTCTGGTTCTTCAACTGTTGTTGAATCCTCAACTGTTGTTGAATTCTCAACTGTTGTTTCATCTTCAATCTGTGTTTCTTCAACTTCTGCTGCTTCTTCAGCAGCTTCACGTTCTTCCCTTTCCTGTTTAAGTCGCAGCCTTTCAGATTTGGCTGCAGCCCTTGCCGCAGTGGCAGCTGCCTTTGCAGCTGCCTTTGCCTCCCTCTTTTCCAGCCTGATCCTTGCCTTCTCTTCCTTCAGTCTGGCTTTTGCCTCTTTGGCTTTAGCCAAAGCTGCTGCATTTGCTTCGGCATCCTCCTTGGACCTTGCTTCCCTCTCAGCAGCAAGTCTAGCCTGTTTGATGTGGACACGTTTATTGTGGACACCAAGGTTTCCTTTCTGTCTGAAGGTCTTTCCACATATTTCACACTTGTAAGGTTTTTCACCAGTGTGCAGCCTGCGATGTCGCTGGACACTTTGTGCCAAGGTGAAGGTCTTGTTACAGATTTCACACTTGTATGACCTCTCTTGGGTGTGGGTCTTGCTGTGTCGATACAAGTTGGCTCCATCAGCGAAACCTTTTCCGCATGTGGTACAGATGTATGGTTTTTCACCTGTGTGGATCCTACGGTGAGTTTGCAAGTTGTACAGCAAATTAAAACTCTTGCCACATGTCTCACATTTGTAAGGTTTTTCACCAGTATGTGTCCTGCGGTGGCGCTGCATGTCCCCTGTTTGATTGAATCCTTTGCCACAGATGTCACATTTGTACCCGTACTCGCCAGTGTGAGTACGAAGATGGGTTAACAAAGTGTAGGGCATGTTGAATCCCTTCTTACACACAATACAGTTGTATGGTTTTTCGCCTGTGTGAGTCATCATGTGACGCTGAAGCTTGTTCATGTCCTTAGAACGCTTCCCGCAAACGCCACAAGTGTTGGGTTTCTCTCCTGTGTGAGTAAGGAAGTGGATCTGCAGATTTGTGATCTCATTTTTAAAATCTTGGCCGCAGACATAACACTTGAGAGGCTTTTTTTCCTCCCCTTCATGGGTCTTAAGGTGCTTGTGTAGTTGGTTACGGTTAATGAATCCATTTCCACAGATGTCACATTCATACGGTTTTTCTCCCGTGTGAATTCTGAGGTGGCGTTTCAGGATGGAGGCTTGTTTGAATCCTTTACAGCAAACATTACATTTATAAGGCTTTTCACCTGTGTGTGACTTCAAATGAATGGGTAGGTCATGTGGCTGTCCAAAACCCTTACCACATATCTCACACTTGTAAGGCTTGCCATCATCTTCCTTGGATACTTTGGGTTTCTTTGGAGTTTTCTTTTTCCCCATTCCTTGAATGGCCCCATACTGATGATCTCCTTGGTGATAGACATCTTTATCAGACTTGTCCGATTCCGAGCTCTGCGTTTGCTGGTTTGCACCAGAAGCCCCAGGGAAAACCGGCATTCCACAGACATCTGTCAAGTTCTGAAACTCTGGCGGCTTTTCAACTGAACGCATTCCGAAGTTTGCCAGTTGAGCAGCAGCTTGGAAGAACTCTTGGCCATAGGCATTGTGTCTATTAGGGTCCTTATCCATTTCTTTTTCCACTTGTTTTTCTCCACCTGGTGGTTGCATTCCAAAATTACCTGGCAGGAAACCTGTCTGAATCCCTCCCATTCCACAGACATCTGTTTCTGGAGGTCTCTCTGTAGAGTGCATGCCAAAATTAGCTAGCTGTGTTGCTGCCTGAAAGAATTCTGGACCATAAGACGTATTCCTTTGATAAGGATCCATGGCATCGTTGGACTTTTGTGAATGTGTGTCAGGCTGTTTCTCTGCCTGATTATGCATCCCAAAGTTGGCAAGTTGTGTCGCTGCCTGAAAGAATTCCGGACCATACATGCTCCTCTTATATCGATCTTTATACTCATAAGGTTTACGAGTGTCTTGCATTCCTGAAGGTATATAGGGATTTGGGATCTGACCACGATTATGTCCGGATTTGTCAGAACTATTTGAATCCATGTCTTTTTCCATTCCTGGAACGGTGTACTGGGTTGACCCTGGCCGATTCCCATTCTTGTTCATGGAGTTTGAATCTTGACGAAGTCTATCATCAGCCATGTTTGGAACAAATGGATAACTTCCTAAATCAGACATCCTTGGTGCAGAGTACTGTGGTGCTACTCGAGAGTTCAACTCAGTGCTAAACCTTCCCTCAGACATGTTTGCGACGGAATGTGGGTCAGCCATTCGCCGGTCAGGCTGGAGGTGCAGGGGTGGAATATCCATGACTGGATAAAGTACCCTGGTCTATTAGTAAATCGTTGTCAGATCCCGATTTGTGTCACAAGCTGATCCCACAGTGTTGATATTACCTGAAAATAGAAATTATTATTTGTTTACCAATATGAAAAATGTTGCTATGAAGACCCTAAGCCACTTACGAAATTCATGAATAAATTTTGAAGTGCAGCGATGTAATATCTACTTGATATTGGAGTTAAGATTGTAGGACTCAACTCTTTATTCATTCAGTTTAAGAGTCAAGTAAGGTTTTGCCTGCCGTTTCATGTGGTAGGAATAAATAGCACCACATAAATACAGCACTTGACTTTTACATAAAAAATCAACAAGGTCAGCATTTCTCACCTTTCAGTGTTAATAATAAAACATCTCATTATCATATTTCAATATTTCAAATACTTCAGTCTGCCAACAGTGAGTCCAGTCTGTATTGTCAGGCTCAATTACCAAAATTCTGTCCTCTGAATTTATAAATGCTACATGATGAATTACATTAAAATCTGACAAACCATTCCGGACTTGTTATATTTGACTGATGCACTATAAAGTAAGGTCATCATGTAGATAATAGGATATGTATGGACAATATGAGCTTCAAATGTTATCTATATTTGTTTTGAGCACTGTTAACAAACTCTTGTACTATGAACAGAAGCTAGGTCTAATTTGGTAATGTGTTTTATAAACATTTAGTTACACATATTGATCAGATATGAAAATAAACCAAAGGTGAAAAATGTGCTTACTGGATTTTTTTCCTGTTTTTCTTGGGATTTATCCTCTTGAATTTCAATAAATTAACAGATTAATGGTTTGGCAATTATGTTGTTATGGGTTGGGTTTTTTCGCACATTAATCACCGAATTTTGTCTCTTTTCAAAGTCATGCAAGAATTTTTAAAGGAAGTATTTGATTGGTTGGTGTGATTTATTATCATGGAAAGTTTAAGGTACTTCTCAGAAGTAAACATACTTTTCAATACTTTAAAAAATAATCTTAAGAAGTATGATCATAGGGATATATTTCAAAATGCAGATGAGCCAAAAGGTGAAACTAAAGCCATCAGCTGTACTTCATTCTTTCAGGACAAAATCAATTTTGGACAAAAAAAGGCTTCAGTGTCCAGTTTATAATTGGCTATCAAATTACTGGTCATTTTAATATTTTAACGGAAATATATTTTCACAGTAAATTAATATTGCGAGTTTCGAATGTATAAGAAACTTTTGATATATCTGATGGCGAGTGTTCAAACATAAGAGAGCAACTTCCCTACGAAATATGTTAATAAAATCGTGATTCGGACAAATTCAATGGCTGGCCAAGGAGTTTGTGCTTCTTCGTAATCTGTCTTCAAATTCACCGCCTTTATTTACATATTGCACCAAAAAATACACCTTAAATATCCAATAATCAAAATCGCGAAATACAAGCGACAAGCTTGCAATGTAAGAAGCGAAAAATTGTGATTCAAAAGTCTAAGTTGGCATGGTTAGCTTAAGATTAGGGGGGAGGCCATTTGTTGGAATGACCCACAAAAGGGGCCATATGCTTTAAAGCGTAATTCATGCAGCTTTGCTATTTTGGAAAAATACTAAACTTTTTGCAAAATTATGCAGCTTAAACTGATTATTTATAGATGAAATACTCACCATTTGGTAATAAAAATAGCTTCTTTAGTCTGTAATGAATGTGGCCCAGTTCTCAGGACTAACAATGCACCTCTAATCGATCAACATCCGGCGTGACGACATCGGACTAATAAAACATGTCTGGACAATGCGTGGACGACCGGCAACGAAAACACAAGAACTGGATTATTCACGAAAATTATGTCTATGACAAAATAATGTATATGAAGCAGTAGATAATTCCTTATGGCTCGTATATTGGATACTTTTCATGAATCTGAATTCATATGTAGCACCTTGCTAACCTTGGGTCAAAGCCAGAAATAAAAATCTGACTTGTGTAAGGCTACAGCACCTTAAAGCTGATGGGCTTGCTCAAGTCCGAGATCAATGCTAAGACCACGTATAGATTAAAATATACTTGTAAATCCCTATGATAAGTCAGAATCCATATAATTGAATACTTAAAATTTAGAGAGCAATATTTTTAAAGAAGATAGATAAAATTATAAGGATATTTGTTCTATAAAAAAAACCCCTCATGATCGTGATTGTAACAAACAACTTCACAAAGCATCAGAAGTCTGCCACCCGGTAAGCGATATCGTGTCTCCAGGGAATTAAGATAGTGTGTCTCGATATTTTTAATCGCAGATAGTCAGGACCCTGCGGACTTTCCAGGTAACCAAGAGCACGTGTCTCGATGCTGGGATGTATATTTAAGAGAACCAGGATGACCTGTCTCTAAAAAAACTAAGATCACTTGTCTCCAAGGATCCTAAACCATCTGTCTCCAGGAAACCTAACAGAACAACCTGTCTCAAGGGAACCTTAACCATCTGTCTCTGCTATGAAACAAGATAACGTGTCTCGTGAGAACTAGTGTGTCACCAAAGAACTAAGATTACTGCCGTTTATGGTTCGGAGGGGACATTTGAAGATGGCGACGACGAGGCGCGACGGTAGGGTAGAGTGACGACATTCTGATCTCAAATTTTATAGATTTTTTTAGTAACTGCAATTTTCTGCAATGGAGATCCCATTTCTGACATGTTGAACACCATTATTATTCGACAGGGATAAATGAGATTTGAACTTTTCGTAATATAAATCCGAAGCTGACGCTGGATGCAAGCATTTTTTCTGCATTTTCCCAACATTAATATCACATTGACAAGACCTTTACAATATGAAAAAGTGAAGTCCATTAACATCCCATTGCTTGGGTAAGATGGAAATCGAAAAAAAAAAAAAAAATACTTGCTGCCATCTCCATTGAAAAAATAAAATAAAATCGGCATAAAAGATGGTATGAGAATTAATATAAAATTATTTTAATTAATATTCAAAAGTTACAGAGCTAAGAACCGGACTTTGAATTTCATTGTCATATATACAACACAGCCACATAGTTAAAAGAATCTGTCTAACACTTCCGCGCAGATTAAAATTAAATCACCTTATCCAACAGGTTTCACACAAGTAATATTGACACTAAAATAGACTTCGAGTATGTTGATGTCGATTGCTGACAACTTGCACGTGAGGCCTACTGTTTGCGTTTGGTCAAACCATATAAATATTGTTACCTGCCGTTTTGTTTAATATACTATAACTTTGAATTAACTTACAAGTAAGCAAGCAGGAAAGCAAGCGAGCGAGTGAGTGGAATGATGAAGATGATGATGATGATGATGATGATGGAGGTTTTTCGTCTCCGCGACTCTGCCCGTCGCCGGGCGGAGTCCAATCGGCATGCGCCGATTCTCTGGCGACGTTTGTGGAATAGATAAATACGCCACGGTATTTATTAGTAATAAATCGATCATCGTGATAATCGGCTAGAATTAAATGGAGACAAATCCGTTTTTCAGTCTGTTGCCGCGTACACGATTTAAAGCGACCCCAGTAATCAGGATTTTACTAAAAAAAAATAAAGGGAACGTTGTGAACAGGAAACAAGGAATTATCTACTGCTTCGTATACATTATTTTTCTTAGACATAATTTTCGTGAATAATCCAGTCCGTGTGTTTTCGTTTCCGGTCGTCAAATGTCAGTTGTCCAGATTAGTAGAAATCAACAAAATTGTATATTGTTTCTCATATGGTGTTATGAAACAGAAAGTTTGTGTTAAAAATATATTTCCGTTGAAAATAAATTACCAGCTGGGTACCTAATAACTATTGGGACACAGTTTCACATTTAAGAACAAACTATGTGTCCTTGTATATCACGCAGTGCAGTGACTAACGCGCTCACTCACCCAGTCGGTTGGGATTCCTATCTGATTCAAATACAAATCTGCTCTGCACACTTTATGGTGTACAGAGATCTACCATATGGTTTTCGTTTTGAGGGGATAACATGGAAAATCCATCATCAAACATGTATCATCCACTTTTTTCCATCGCCTTGTTAAAGAACTTCATGTCTACAAAAAAGATTTTGGTCTTTTTTCCGTCTGATTATCCTATTCATGGCAGTAATGGCTATACAATATTCCTATTCCTTCTACTGTTTGTATCTTGATATATTTGCCGGTTTCTCGATGGTCTTATGTTGTTTAGTATAACGTATCGCTATGCTCTGTATAGTGTATTGAAAACATTACGGGAAGTGGATCTAAGCTTAACTTAGAACTAAACCTAAACTTTGATTATTGTTATAACGTAGTGACTTCTTTTTATAATAAAACCAGATCGAGCAGGGTTACAAGTTAGATAAAGATATAATTAAATATATCTTTCGAGAAGACTGAAATCTTCTACTTTCTTCACAATCTAATATACCAAGGGACTTAACTCGTCTTTCCATATTACAGGTTTGGACGTTTTCAGTTCTGCTATGAAACATGGTAATATGACAAACTATTTGATATAAGAGAAAGTTGAAATGTGTTATCAACATCGTCCAAACTTGAATGGTAAGCTTAAACACGTTCTTATCGTAGACCATTTAAACTAAGACTGTCATTATATTGTCGTACACTCTCAGTAAAACTATTGTCTCTTGTTTTTAACGAAACAATGCAGAGTGATAAAGAGTGCCAAAGAGACAAATAACTTGAAACAAAATTTTACTTTAAACTCTTAATTTCCCGTTTATTTTGTTCATTTATTTTTTCATGCAGTTTGATTAATCCAAAAATTTTAATTACATATTGCATCATTGATCAAACAATTGAGTCATGGCGTCGATATTTCGTTGTATAACAGTCAGAGACGTATATAAACATGCTTCCTCTGTTACAGCTTTGTTGCCTCTCACAAATTAATTGAGAAATATAACTTTTACTTATTCACAACGGCTATGAGTACGTCTTTTTCAACCGAGTGTATTCAATAAGCGCTTTTAATTTACAACTACATACTAATTAGTTCAACACTTTCGTTTTATGATGATTATTAAAATGTTAACAAATATATCACCTCTTATAATTGTACATGCGTTTGTCGCAATATACCTGATGAGGTAGTTTATATGTTGACAGAAAAGAATCCCTTTACCTTTGTTTATTTTCGCTCTTTCCAGAGAAGTTAATTTATTTGATGTGTAGGATCCATATATAGTCACATGTACATCACATACGTGATGTTTTACCAGGCTCGAATTTCATAAAGTTGATATTCATAGTGACATGTTTACAGATTTGACACTCAGGATGAATACTGACCTTGATCTGACCGTTTAATCTGAATACAGACTACTTAATACTGATCAAATATCGAACTCCAGTGTGATCCAAACAACAAATAACTGAACAATAAACAAAATATTCGTCTCTAAAAGTAAATGACATGGAGTGAATTTTCGTTAATTTATAATAGAAAATCCGTGGAAATAATGAAAGATATTCATAAGAAAATAATTAATATAACTCAATTAACGGACGTGTTCAACACCCCATATAACAGATTAAGTCTTCCTTTTTAATCCTAAAAATGTGCTGCAAATTGCTTTCTCTGTTGAATAAGTCTGTGGTATCAATATGATTTCGTTTTATTTTGCTTGACACCGAGGCAGTCAATATGTCTGTACCGAGGAACGACTAACCAATCCTACAAGATGACGTACAAATTCATTGTTCATCCCACCTGACACACTTCCTTCTTTCTTTGTGTATAATACACAAATATGCTAATACTTCCGGTAATTCTCTGTCAAAAGGGGGCGTGGTCTTTAGCCATGTGCTTCTTTGTTTATGTAAACATGTCGTATTTAAGAATCACATGTAAATTTGAGATAATTTATTCATCTGATATCTAATCATTGTTGAAATATATTACTTTTAGTTATGAAATTGCAATTTGACATCACAAAATATTGCTACATAGTGATATTTTCAAAATATCAGTTTCTGAAAATAGAACAAATTTGACCTTTAACCCTTGACTTGGCATCTTGGGAAACGTTCAGGCGTTGTCACGTGACTTCTTTGTGTGTCGGACTCGCAGCGTGTGAGTCAGACAGCCTTGTATCTCTCAGTATTCATCTATGTATTCAAATATATAAACGGAATTTTACCAAAATACTCTCCGATGTGGATGGAGAGGCCTTAGCGGTACTGTGTGTGCAAAAGGGGACATGTGGAGATTTTAAGTAGTACATTCCAAACGATTTTCGTGCAGGCACCTTGCTGGATTTCGTGGGTTGGTTATGGCGGTGGTCGGGCAAAGACACGCTCGACACATAATAATGCCCCCTCCGAATTTACCTCCCCACTCCCAACACGCTATCCTGACGGCTGCTGTGGCGGTTCCCTATTACCAGGTTGTTCCTCCACAAGATGTCCAGCCGGACAGACCCATAGGATACGGGGCATTTGGAGTTGTCTGGTAAGTAAACCGACTCGCGAGCCTTTGTTCCTGTCGTCTGTCGCGACGAGACATGATGGAGAAAATTTCACTTTCTTTCGTTGCTATATTGAAAACAAAAGCAAAATTTTACTTACCATGGTAACACAATAGTCAACTCATGTATGATATTCTATCATATATGTTATTTTTTATCTTCATTTTGTATTTATTGAGACAACAATGAAAACGAGAAACGTATGCTTTGTTTCTTTGTGTGTCCTCGTACGGACTGAATCAGCTGATCGGGGCCTGAGGCTCTGACAGCACTAACGTGAACCGTAGGGTACTGTCAGTATTGTCAAAACATTTATGTATGCTATAATTGAAAACTTGCCAGAATTAATTGGAATACTGTTAAGAAAATATTACACCATCATAATGTATTTGATGGGATTGTGTACATAAAAAAGACTCGCTTAGGGTCACTTTTCCTGGTCTTTGTTCGATTCTTGGTAAACAATAATATTGAACTGTTATATTTACTGTACATTTATTTTTTTATTCAAACTTTGAAGTAGTAATTGAATTCTAAAGAATTGTTTATATGCCCTTTATTATATATCATTCTAACTAGATATTATCAGTCAAGTTTAAATGTGAAATTGGAATTTGAAGCTTGAATCTTCTTCGAGGATCATGCACTATTTTCGGTTTACAACACACTTTGTGGTGTCCTGGGTTACATTGTGGCTGATGTCAATTAAAAGATTAAAATAAATCTTGTTATTTACAGATTTTATGCTGTCTCTTGATCAATCTTAAGTATAGTATTGATGGTGACTTGGTCTCAAAATCAAACCTCAGTATTTTGTAAAGTTAATATCTTCATTCCTCATCTAGACAAATGTATATTTTCATCCCAGATTAAAATATTGCAAGCTATAAATACAACCTGCTATTTATTAGAGAAATGGCCCAGGGGTGTCTTTTAAAGTTTTCAAAGAGATTAAGTTGACTGATGTGAATGGGCAGGGCATGTAATCTGGGATGAGTCGGCGACTTACTATACACTTCAATACAAGTTTAAAACACAGGATATTTTATCTAGCTAGGAGATTGTTTTTAGGCTATAGGAGTAAGATAGAGGTTTTTTAACTTCAGAAAAATCTTGGAGAAGCATGGACAAGAACCTTGATCTTGTACCATAGAAGGTTGTGTACCTCACTAGCCCAGAAAGTGCTAAAACAAATGTATTCTAAATTTTGCAACTCGAACTCGAAAATTTGAAGCATGATTTCTAGAATATCATTGTTAAAACTACTCAAGGGTTGGGTGTAATCGTGTCCATTGTGTATATGATTTTATCACTGGTTAATGTTCTCGTGTTCACAGTTCTGTGAAATATATTAATTTTTTTCAGTGGACAACACTATGTCAGTCATATTCTCCAAAACATATGCTTTGTGCACTTGTTGCTTTGTCAGTCAAGGCCATGAAGGGCAATATTCTACAGTACTGTAGATGTACTTACAATGTGCCATCTGTTGAACTCTTCCTAAGGAGGAGGAAAAAGTTAGAACAAAGAGAAAATAACCCTTTCCTGATGCCAATTATCGCAGACAACAAAAGACCTAAGTTCACAGTGTTGAATAGTGATAAGCGTTTGATGAATTGCCCAGTCTCTCAGATGATAGAATATGTCATATGTCTGAACTACACTTATAAACGATGTATTGGGTTTGTTGGTAGTCTTGAAACTTCAAGTTTATCTTCCAGTCCATGTTAAAGTAGATAATAGCTGTGTTTATCGGTGAGTAATGAAATGTAAGGGCACTTGGTTCTGTGTGATACAGGTACATTAACATGGTGTGGTACCAATAGCTGGAGTGTATGTTATAGTGAACAGCAGGTGGTTATAGGAGATTGGAGAGGTTATAAGTCCTGTACTGCCTCAACATGTTCAGAAGTTCTGTTGAAGGAGATTTGTGACTTTTCTGTAAATCCTGTCTCATTTGTCTATAAAGAATTAAATATGTTCACATGGAAAACATTAAGAAGAATAGTTTTTGATGTGCCTATATAAAAATTATCAGTATCTTCAACAAAGTAGGCAATGTCCTTCATTGAATATATAATGTGATTTTGAACTAACAAAAGGTGAAGTTAGAACATATTTCTTTGTTTGGGAAGCACTAGTTGAACAACCATGAAGATCAGTGAACCTTTAGTGTGTACATACAGTATGTACCTAGCACACCTGCCCTTATAGTTATAAGCACACTCCAATCTTTTTTTCTTGGAAAGCGATAGGTTCACATGTACTCAATCAAAGTCAGTGTACAATATTCATTCTTAACACATTATCTCATATAACAAGCAACTGGGTGATAGATCTGGCTAAAATTTCAAAATTTTATAAATTCAGTACGTTAATGCATTACATCAGAAAAGAAGTTGCTATAATGTGTGATGTCTTTGTTTGGGGAGTTTTAGTTGAAAAATTAATGAATATCATAATTCTGTGGATTGGGAAATTTCCATTATAGCTAAATGTATGTTTGTAATTGAAATTATCTCATCTTTAAACCACATTCCCAAAATTTTCAATATGCTGCTGAAAATTACTCTCCCAATTCACCAATTTTCTTCCCAAAATAAGAAAACATTTGCCATCCCAGACCTGTCAAACATCTTAATGCCATGTAGCTGGAAAATGTCTTGCAGTATTACTGTATATCTACATGCCAAAATGATTTGATAGGCCTCTGTATGCTGTGTGTCCAGAACAGAATTATGCAGGCAGATGAATAAAATTTTTGGGATTCCTGGCAGTCTTTCCACATGATACATATATGATATTTAGTTTGTGACACAACACATTATGTTATTTGTTATCAAGATTTTATGTGTTGACATAATTTAGAATGTATCTGGGGAAAAAAATTCAATCCAAAATCAACATAGTACTATTGAAAAAATGGTGCTTGACCCAAGCTTTCATTTAAAGGTGACTAATGAGAACATTTTCAATTCCCTGACAAAATATTGACAGGTATATTCATCAAAAGAAAATGTGGAATTGATTAAAATGGAGGAAAAAAAATGGTTACAGCATACATCATTTGACATATTTTGTAGGGAAATCATTTTTGCAGTGAAGCCTCAATGATCAGTAAAAATAATATGAGAGCTATTACTAGGGCAAGGTAATTGTGGAAATAAAAAAAATCCAGAAATAAATGATTATCATAATTCTGAGGTATGGAATTTGGTTATTTGTTCAAAATTCTCACTCTAGCTTTAAATGGACGTTTATAATTCCCAATATACATCTAAAAAGAAAAGGCAATAAATAAGTTGGTAAAGTTAACAGGTTATGGTTGAGATGCAGGATGGAAATTTTGCTGTGAAGGCTGAAACACATGAAGAGCAAGCATGTTATTGAGTTTGCTGGCTAATCCTGGGCTCCTATCTTCTTTAGTGTACACAGCACATCTCCTGGAGGTTCTTGCTATAAATAGAAGTACTTAGTATGCATAAAATATCACTGAGATCACATTTCTTCCAATAATCATGACTTGGTAGCTATTTCCAGGGACACATTTATACTCTTTCTGTGTACATTGATGTGTAAATATAGATTTGTATTTCATACAGTAATACATATGTGCATATTAATATACCTGCACAGTAGTAGTGTTGTTTCATTATTGACCCAGCTGTAAAATTGGTTTTTGTCATGCATACGTGTAGCCTAAAGCTAATTAGAAAATATTCTCGCTTATTCCTGCAAATCAATGTCTTAATTAAAAACATCTATTGTTCTAAAGGTGCTGTGCTTGCTTTGAAGGAATACTAGAACAATTTCGTTTTTTTTCTTTTTTTTTTTTTGGCCGAACAAATTTGGTTTTCTTTTTATTTCTTAAAATGACATTCTATGTGTGACTTCCAATATTAAGATTGATAAAGGTAAATATGTTAACTTTAATGTCAGAATTCATAAGAGATCTGTAAGTCATCTTTCACTCTACCATATTTATGCTGTAATCAACCCTGGGGATCAACACATATTATTCCTTCTTATTTCAAGTTGGGGATGGGTGTGGAAAATAAAACAAATTGCGTACTATAATTTTACACATTAGTGCTAAGGATGGGCGCATTAAAGGATATTTAAATTAAGTTGTTGTAATGTACAAGTCTTTAATTGTGTGTACATGTTAAGTCCTGTTGACATAGACTGGATACATCAGTAGATAACAATACAATTCAGAATTTTATATCACCTGGAAATGAATTTAACAGCATGTACACAAAATTTGTTAAACAAAAGTAAATTTGTTGAATTTCCATTATTCTGTGAAGCTCTAGAACTTTGAGACTGTTAACAGTTGCTTGAACTTACTAGCTGGGTATATATGTAACACACTGTTTCTGTGTTTATGACCAAAATGGCAAAAATTTTAAAATGCAGCTATAGCATTGCATGTCATAGTTACTTGTGAGTCTTCAGTATCAAGTTTTGTTTAATCAAGTATCACAAAAAAAAGCAACATTTGAAGTAGGTAACATTAATTCTTTCTGTCCTTGCAGGTCAGTAACGGACCCACGAGATGGAAAGAGGGTGGCCCTGAAGAAAATGCCTTGTGTCTTCCAGAACCTAGTCTCCTGCAAACGGGTTTACAGAGAATTGAAAATGCTCTGTCATTTCAAACATGACAATGTAAGTTCTCAAGTTGTCTTTTTTTCTCTCAATTAATTTTTGCCTTTAGTGCTACCAAAAAGTATATATTGTCAAGAAAAAAGCGAAAAAAAAAGCAATAAATTTTTCCATTAAGCTTCATAAATTTGTTTGCATCTTGTAGTCTGTCTTTCATTAAGAAAACATCTGTTGTGCATATATTTTTTCTTGACATTGTATTAGTTACGATCTTTGATGCCAACTGAAATTAGTTGACTGGGTGTGTTAATCACTTTTAAGTTTACAGTCGACATCTGAATATTTCCAAAAGTAATGATATTGAAGCTTATTTCATGATAAATGTGTTAATATATATATTTTTTGAATAGCTATTTTTGTTGGTGTAAGGCATTATTTTTTTGTTGCTATGCCAACTTGGTTGCTGCTTTGTGTTGAATTTGCCTTCATGATAAAATTCATTTATTTGGCCTGATAATAAACTTCCATTAAAAAAAAGTATGGTGGCACATATAAAATAGTTTTATTTGATATCTGTAATGAATATTTATCAAGATTTTTCCCTGTTCATTGGTAACCTTAGCAGTTGTCACTGATGTGCCGACCTGTTCATAAGAGTTGGTATTACATCAATAATTCATCATTCGTAGCAATATGTCGTGCAGTACCCACTCTCTCCACAAATAATATCAGATCAAAGTTTTTAAAAAAATCAATTTTGTTGTGTATTCATTCATTTTGATGGTAGTCTTATAAGTTGATGAATAGAATGAATTTCGATTGAATTTCTCAACCAACTATGTATCCGTATCATGAGATTGATTTTCAATGGGAGTTGAAAAAAGCATTTTATTTTATGCATATCACAGAGGTAGGAAAGGTCATATCAGATGTACTTGTACGTGACTTCTATTGTGGTAGATGGCTGTGGAAAGAATTTCAAACACTGCTGCTAAAATGATGGTTTTTCACTCAAACTTCATGAATTACATTTGAATTACTTTACTGGAGAAATTTTGACAGTTCAATTATAACCGAATAACATCAAGACAGGAGAAAAGTACTACAAGAAATGAAAAGTGTTCGAGGGGGAAATATGTGGAAAAAGATGTTGATAACGGCAAACTGATAATTTTTTATTAGCTTCAGAGAACAAATGTGATAAGATTTATTGGGGGAGGGGAATGTGACACTGACTTCATTATTGCTATACTCGGTAAATCCTAAGGGTTACTAGGGTCATGATTGAAAGCTGACCTGACAGCTGGTGTAAATCCTGCTTGGTGAACTATATCAAGATTATTTAATTTTGACTTTGAAGCTTTGGCAGGTGTTTGATTACAAGAATTTAAACGATTTAAAGTTTTTGTTTTATTGTTGATATTCTTAATCAATATGGTATTGGGTGGAAATTAAAAAAAGATAAAAACAGCCTTGGATGTTTCTGTTTTTTGGAAAAGCAAAAGATGAAATATTTGCCGATTACTATACAGTGCAATTTCGGGGAATTTTATTTGCAAGTGAACCAACATGTGATCTTTGTTATAAAACATGATCCATATTGTTTACACACACATATATGATGAAGTGGTGGGTGTGACCACAGATTGGGTTGGGTGTGTCCATTATCTTTACCTGTACTTATGCTGTAATCTCTATGCTTGTGTCTTTCAGTAGTGTGTAGTATAATCTTAAAGTCAATGTATACGTGGTATTGTGTACAGTGGTCTAAACAAGATTAGAATGAGAATCAGAATGTTCAATATCAAATGGACAGAGAAAATAATTACATGATTAACTTGGCTTATGAGAGCAGAGCCCTTGATCCAATTTACTGAATCTCTGGTATAACCTCCTCCCAAGCAACTTTCCCTGGGTGTATCAATAATTCTACCTGTGGTAACACTATGCCGTTGCAAATCCTGTGAACAGGTAACCCCCTCCCACCTACCAGATTCTTTATACTGAACCAATGACTGACATTACAGGTGTCACCTGTGGTGGGACAGCCATGTTCATATCTGTATCTACATCAGGTGTCATATCCTAGCTAAAAGAGTTTGACCCTGAAAAGTTCATTTAATAAGGTATATTTATAAATCAGGTATATTTGTGAAGACTACCATCTTTCCTCTCAATGCACAAGTCTTGCAAGTTTTCGCTTTTAACTGAAGGTTTTTGGTTTCTGACTACTTCACAAGCTGAAGAATGTAATATAGTTTTCAACCTGAATTTGACAGCAGTGCATTCCTTCAAAAAAAATAATCATTTGTAATATGCAATTGTATAATAATTTATATGATTTTTTCTTCATATTGGGGAAGATATTCTTGATTTTATTCTTTTTAACAGGGGGAAATGTTATGTTTTCAGCTTAAACAAAGCAAACAGATTTCAGATCATTTTGTGATATATTTTGTCACCTGTTTTTTTATGAATTGGAATACATCTACATATTTGTCAATTTGATATCCCAGCCTCCTCACTTCCCACTTACTTTGTGTAATAATGCAGAGATGTGTCTCGGCATAACCTTCCGCCATTGAGTGTAGAATGTACACGAGTACTCAGAATTTTGTATATTTAGTCCCTAGGGTTTAAAATGAATACTTGAACTTGAGCCATATGTTTAACTTGTGATACATTGACGTATTTACCACTTCAAAGGAAAGCATTCTCGGTTTCATGTCTATTAGCAATGTGTAAAAATTTCTTAATATATAATATTTAAAATAATATTTAAAATATTTTTTTGACTTCAAATATATTTGTGTGTTGTAAGTATTGATGATTTAAAGGTTAGAAATATTGTATTTAGTAAACGGTCAAACTGATGCAGTGTGAAATCGGTCTAAAAAATTTGCAGGTGATTCTGCTGTAATTAATTCACCTTCAATGCTAACAAATTACTTTTGGTTGTGGCTAAAATGAGGTTCTCTTGAGTTGATAGATCAGTAACTCCTCCCCATCCCTCCCCTCAAAAAGAATGAAAATATGAAAACAAACAATTGTCTAAAAAAAAAAGGCAATTCAAAAGCAAAATGTAAACTACTGTAGATGTTTGGGTGTTCCATTCCATGACTAAGCATTCTTCCTGTGTAGATTGCTATGTAGCCCAATATTAGTGGCATGGTATGTATAATTTTGATATGGAAAAGACACCATGAGTAGCAACATCTGGTCAGAAGCTTTGGTATTTAAAGGATGTTTGATGCCAGTATCTGGTTTGGGTAGATCCACCCCAGAAATGTCAAGCATGTTTGGAATGTGCTGTGAATCAACCCTCCACATAATACTGGCAACTAGGTCACTTTGAGTTGACTCACTTTGACATAACTTTCTCTTTAGCTTGTTCCTTTTTGTCTCGCGGTTCAGTGAATCTGGTGACATAAAAACACTAGATTTGAGACTGTGTGAGGATTTTTAATGTACAAGTGGTTGCTGTGTTGAACGAATTAGAATAAAATGCTTTAAGATCTATGTATCTTGTCTTGTAATAATGTCTCTGACATTGAATTATCCAAAAAAAGTTTCTAAAAAACATGCCATACAAATATATACTTCAAACTTCATAAGTTTTGAATGCATGAAAGTTATAAATAAAAAAAAAACATTTAGTCTTTAAAAAAAAATAATGAAGTCCTGTCATCAGTTTTGCTCAATAAAATATTTCATTTGCTGTAAAATTATGCCTCGAGAAAGTCTGAATCATTAAATGAAGTATTTACAAGCGTAATGTTGGGAAAACATAAGTTGCAGTGAGAAAGGGTTGTATGAGAGATGGAGTTGTATTGTACCTTGTGTGGCTGCAGTATGAGCTAGTCAAGTCTCCAGTGTACTGTCTATTGATTTTAGGGGAAATCCACCCATATACTAAAACATCTAGGCCAGCTATACAGCCACTGTATCATATCAGCCTCCCAGCTTGGTTAGCTTGAGCTGGCAGTAATTATACAGCCGTAGAATGCCAATCCGTCTGGTTAGCTTGAGTTTATGATAAAGCAGGTAGAAAAGATTATCCTTCAGATCAGGTTAGCTTTAAACAAGATACACACTGCCTTGTAGAGAAATGTTCTACAAGGGATTTTTAATCTGAAAATCTGCTTGCAGAGGAAGAACAAAGCTTCTTTGTGTTTGCATGAGACATGTTTGTGTTATTTTGAGAAGAAAATTGTTTAATTTAGAAACAAATATGAAGTAGGAAACAATTAATTTCAGGCATTATTTATTTGCAAACATGACATGTTATTGATCCAATAAGTCACAAAAATTTTCAGATGCATAAATATCATGTAGGCATTGAAAAATTGACATCACAACAGAATTTATTTATGTATCATACTCTGTAACAATGTACATGTAAATATATATTGGTAGGTCAAGCTGTGAATTAAATATGTAACTATCCTGAATCTCCATTTTTATTGTCTGTCTTTAGCGGAATTAACCTTCCTGTACAAAGTCTGAAAACATACATAAACTATGTAACTCCTGTAATGAAGAAAGGAAGCAATATCTTGGGTTTTAAACAACAATATTGTGTATTTACAGGGCTCTCACACCCCATTTTGGGACTGGGGCCAGGGGCCCTTAGAATTGGGAAAAATAATGGTGTTTTCCTTAAAATTGGGAAAACTTGGGGTCTAAATTGGGAAAAAAAGATACTATTTTGCATTGGGAATTTGGCCCCAAATCTGGCAGATTGAGAGCCCTGATTTACAACTGTTTCATGATCTTTCTTCTGTTTTTTCAGGTATTATCAGCTCTTGACATCCTACAGCCACCAAACATTGACTTTTTCCAAGAAGTGTATCCTTTTTAGAAAACGGAAGTAATTAAGAAAAGAAGACAAAGCCAATCTATTAGAGATGAATACAAAGTCTTGGTTCAGAATTTTGGGATCTGTGTTCGTATTAGATACATGTTAAAACACTGTAGACAAGGTACTTTTTCTATTGTTTCATATTTCGTTAAAAGTGCATTGCTGTAGTGTGTTATTGCAGATGACTATGAGGATGTGTTGAGTGAGTGACATGCTCACACTTGTCAATAAGGAAGTGAGTTGGTATTAATTATGACAGAAATGTAGATGACTGACTTGTCTCTGTTTTAGTTTGTTCAAAGTTTGGTATTATCATCTCTAAAATGACAAAGTCATACAACCAAATAGTATGTATCATGTAGTCCTGTCGTCACAAAATTAGAATATTTCCTGCTTTAATTATTTTTGCAAAAAAAAAAAAAAAAATCAAAAGCCAAAAAAAAAAAAATAGAAAATGTTGAATTTAAAAATGGGAAACAGCTCATTTAAAGATTATATGGAAAATGTAAAACTTGCAAAAAATCACCAATATTCTGAGGAAGATATATAACTTGTGGTTTGTCACTTTGGACTGTATCACATACTAAGCTATACTGGTAATAATATGATTTGGTGATGAGGTACTAAGTACTGAATATATATCAGGTTTACATAGAATACTGTCTAGACGGCTCTGGTGTACTGGGCTGACCTTTTTCTGGTATCCCTCCAGATTCTTTGTATGTGCTGATTGTATAGTTTCTCTCTGATGCTTACATAGAGAGAGGCCTTTCTACATCCGAGTGGGGATGAATGTACCCAGTTTCACTGTAGCTAGCATGATCTGTAGGGTCAAAAGGTGTGTATGTTAGCTTCAGGGTAAGATACAAATAACAAAGTGTTGTTTAACTGGTAGAATTACGGTAATATACTGGAAGTATTTACAATGAATAGAATTAGTCGCTGAAACACTGATAATTGTTATCGTGATATAATCAGGGGCTTGATTTATTCAGAATGACCCCGAGTTGACATTTACATCTAAAAATAGGACGTTTTCCTGTGGATACAGTGTCAAGTGATGAAAAAGCTGAGAGGTGATGTCTGTAAAATTCTAGTCAAGGATTGTTTTATATCTTTTAAATTTATGTTTCATCATCAGTTTAACAAAAATAATTTCAGATCTTTTTACTGAAGTCTCGAGTTACTATTGTTCTTTTGCATGCACAACACCTGTAAGCTGTATCTGTGGTGTTTATGCCTACAAATCCTCAAAGATGATAACAAAGACGATAAAATTTTTATGTTGGTCACCAGAAAATTCCAATTTATTATCTGGTTGAGTTGAGACAAGCTAAATATTCAGAAAAATATATGCTGCCATTTTGTTTTTTATGTTTAGTTATATTGTTTTCTCCTGTGAAATCTGAGACACTTCTGTGTAGGTTGGTTTTACCCGTATAAGTTTCTATTCAGAACTCTTGACTGAATTACTTCTGGTTCACTTCAAGCCAGTCTGATTTATTTGTGAATGATTTTGCGGGCCTGTGTCGGTTCCTGTTGTCGACAAAGCACTTCTTTGTTGTGTTTTTTCTACATTGTAGTTTTATTGTCGATGTCAAAAGTGTTCTTAATATGTCTTTAGTCTGTATGGTGTAATGGGGCTGTGGTTGTTGGCTTCTATTTATGAAGAGTCATTTTCCTTCTACAGTAAGATTAAGTATAGAATATTGTACATGTGTCCTTGACCAAATTTACTTCAATATTCTGAAAAGATGTTTCATACAGAAATAGATAAATATTTTATTTATTTACTTTTTTATTTATATATATATATTTTTTTTGACCTGCATTATGGATGGTATTATTTGTTAATTTTCTGTTGGTCTGTACTAGATCTATCCACCTGTCTGTCCATCTGTATGTATCCGTCCATCTGTCCGTTGATCCATAGAACTTGGACTTAGCACTGACTCCAATGTGTTGATTGTTAGCTGGAAGTTATATATTTTTGTGTCAAAGGTTGTTGGATGGTCCTTAATTTGTGATTTCAATGTTAATTTAATGTCAATTGATAGAATATGTTACAGATACAAGTTACATGTTGATAATTTTTACATTTCAATAAAACATTCAGCTGCTTCAATCAAACTGGAATTAAACTTGTTAAGTCAATAAGATAGGGAAAAAATACTTTGTTGTAGTTAGCAGAAAGTGAGTCTGGTTATTAAAATGACCTCCAACAGCTTCAATTCTTCAGTTTAGAAAAAACTGGCTACTAGTGCTGTTTTATTGTCTTTCAATAAGCCCACCCCTGACTTTGGAGTTCGAGTTTATGTGTCCGTCCCCTGGCAGATTACTGGATGAAAATGGTACTGTATATTTTTTTTATACCTTACTGAGGACGGTTTCTGATACTTAATTCTCGGGACAGACAGTAATATCCTGATGGTAGTCCAAGCTACAGAGGACAGACTCTCTAGTTGCAAGTCTATGATTAAGTTCTACTGTGTCTGTATAACATGGATTGTGTAGTTTTAAATATACTCAGGATGCCTGGGGGGAAATATGGTGGATAACAGTTTTTTCATGTAAAACTCCCTGGATCGTCATTAGTCCAATAACGACTTGTATCACAAATATCTAGGAAAATATCAGATGTCTTGTGAATCTGAAAAAATACTGTTAAATGTCTGCCATCATACTGTGAAACATGGTCACTCGGAAAACAAAGTCAATCGACTCGCATATTCTTTGATATTGATTTTAGGTGGGTTTTTTTTCCTGTCGCAAACGTTGAGAGCTTTACCCTTGGGTGAGGAAAACTCACTCAATGAAATAGCTAATGCAGAAGATGGAAGAAAAAAAAAAAAAGGCCATTAATTCTGTGGCCAGATGGTGGATTTGTTTCCATAGCAACAGTAAGAGAAAACAAAGTGTCATATTCTTGAGGTTTTGGCCTGTGATTAATAAAACGGATAGCCATGGACTCCAAAATCTTTTTTCAGTCATCAGTTATCTTCCAACAGATTCTTTATTGTTATTTTGTGTTTGGTTGGAATAAAAATTTTAAAAAATTTTCAGGTAACTAACGTTCCTGTATGTATTTAAAGTCCATGGTACTTAAAGCATTTCTTTATTTACTTTGTTGATTTACTTTAATACCCAGTGGCAATCTTGATTACCCTTTCAAATTAAATTTAATTAAATAATTATCAAAAACAATATTTTGAAATTATCAGCAGTTTTTCAACTTAAGAAAAAAAAATCTGAAAAGGGTATTTTTTAATATACAGATATAAAAATTTTGAATGGTTTGAAAATAAGTAAAATGTGATTCCTTGACCAGCTGTCAGTTATGTACTAACAGAACTAATGCAGAGTGACCTGCACAAGATCATTGTTTCTCCACAACCCCTCACTTCCGACCATGTCAAAGTCTTTCTATACCAAATACTCAGAGGTAAGTTTTTCCTGATCATGTTGAAATCTCTCTATACCAAATACTCTGCAGTAAGTCACTTTGGACCATGTCGAAATCTCTCTATACCAAATACTCTGTAGTAAGTCACTTTGGACCATGTCGAAATCTCTCTATACCAAATACTCTGCAGTAAGTCACTTTGGACCATGTCGAAATCTCTCTATACCAAATACTCTGCAGTAAGTCACTTTGGACCATGTCGAAATCTCTCTATACCAAATACTCTGCAGTAAGTCACTTTGGACCATGTCGAAATCTCTCTATACCAAATACTCTGCAGTAAGTCACTTTGGACCATGTCGAAATCTCTCTATACCAAATACTCTGCAGTAAGTCACTTTGGACCATGTCGAAATCTCTCTATACCAAATACTCTGCAGTAAGTCACTTTGGACCATGTCAAAGCCTTTTGATACTAGATACCCAGAGATAAGTCAATTGCAACCTCATCAAAATCTTTCTATACCAAACACTTGGCGGTAAATCACTTCTGACCTTGTCAAATAAATTTCAGACCTTTACAAAGTCTTTTGAACACCAATAGTTAAGTCACTTTGAACCTTGATATGTGATTCAGTACTCTCTACGCAAGTAATTTCCGTCTGTGTCTTTATATATTGTAAACCAACTATATAATGATCCATATATCAAAGTTGTATTCTAGAATATATCTTAAAACCATTATTGAAGTTAAAAGTTCACACATTCTTGATGCAATTTCAATAGACTATGTGGTTTGTGTTAATTCATGTAAAAGGATGATAAAACATCATTGTATGGAAACAATGACTTACAGTGTTCCAACAAAATATTATTGTAAGGGGAAAGAAATACTTTTTAATATTATATTTTATTTCGTTATATTTCGTTAGCTTCCCAAGCAGTAATAATAATTTCATTTGTAGGTATTAATTTTACATTCCCAAGCAATATTTATTTATGTTTTTTTGTGATGTTCATTCCCAACCACCTAACAATGTGTATTTTATTCATAAAATATTCATTATTTCCAATTAAATTTTTTCCCCACAGGCTTAAAATACCTCCATTCTGCCAGAGTTTTACATCGTGATATCAAACCAGGAAACTTACTAGTCAACAGTAACTGTGTACTAAAGGTAGGTTATCAACATTGGCCTAAAAACGGGACTGACAAGTCCGACTATAATGTATTGAAAGAGTAATGATGCAAGATCGGTTAAATTCAATAATCGATTATCAATTACAATAGATAGATATTTTGATATAGCTAATCCAATACCTTCTTGACTAACTGTGTGTCCAATACTCATTTAAAGTTAATGCATTCTTCATTGAAGTAATATTTTGGTTTTTTGTAACTCCAACCTGATCTACCTCACTTAACTAACTTAACATAAGAATAAATATTATTGGCAATTATCATCTTTATCGTGCATAATATGTATTTTTCTTTTTTGCTCAAAGACAACAAAAATATATTGTAAGATACTGACGATTTATTATGAAATTTTAAAATTGATCATTAAATTCGATTAGGTTCAACGATTATTTAATTAATTATATCCAACTATTCTGCCATTACTATAAAAAGGGGACCAAATTTTTCGGCCAGTAATGGTCATGTTGAAAAACCATGATTCTCAGGAAATCATATCAGACTGTGCCAATAACTAGCCCTGTAATAAACCAAGGGGCTTTCTGAGCAAGAAGGGAGCTTGATGTAAATCAGTAATGCAATATTTCTAATAATAGGCATAATTTCTAAACTGTGGTAGGCTGAATATTATTTATGTGTATGTCTAACGTTCAGAAAAGTTGTTTATAATGTCAGATTTTTAAGATGTGAGGGGAGAAAAGGTCAAATATTTTATCAGTTGTAAGTACAGCCAGGTGTCGCTGAAGTGAGGTGTCAGTTAAGTCCGGTCTCACTGATTAAAGAAAGTAGGCTGAATGCAATGGTACGAGTGATATCAGTAAAATTAGTGATATCAGTAAAATTAGCTGTGAGTGTGTCAATGGTTTTAGTTACCTAATTCATAACACAAGAGAAAGAAAATAATAATCAACCATGGAAATTGTATAATCCTGTATATTTTGGTCAGGATCAATAAATTCTTGAAAAATTCAATTTATTTATAAATTACTTGTCATGGAAAACTTATTTGTTTTCAGTAAAATTAAAATAGATACCCCAAAAATAGCCTATCGATTAAGTAGAGCAGGAAACGCATGGAGTGGGATCCCCCCCCCCCTGTAATGGTATCCCAGAAAGTGGTTAATGCAGTTTTAAAGAAATCGACTTTGTTGTGATGGCGTCAACAAATTAAATATAATGTCAGCAATATATAGCTATTGATTTTTTCAAAACCAATAGTCTGGACTCTGTGCGAATGTGTTTTTTCTAAAAATATGTTCTATAGCCTTTGGCTTGAAGTAAATTCCTGATCTTGAAATACACCAAAATATCTATATATATTGACTCTCTACATACCAGAATAAGAATCAACATTCTATTTTTGAAGTCATTTCAATTTTATTCTCTTTGACCAGAAATTTCTATCAATATCATTTTATTTAGATTCAGTACATTTATAGTACATACTTCATATCCTAAATCATTCAGATCAGAATTTGCAAGTGAAAATGATACGTTGCAGTTCATTTACTAGATAAATTCAACATCAAAAGATTAATGACAAAGGGACTTAATTTTAGATTTGTTCCCTGTTAAGACCCCCACACTCACAAAGGGACACAATTTTAGATTTGTGACCTGTTAAGACCCCCACACTCACAAAGGGGCACAATTTTAGATTTGTGACCTGTCACGTCCAGGCCCTCAAAATATTCACAAATAAATGCCTATCTTTATATGAATTTTCAAAAATGAAACAGTTTTACTGAATTTCTGTTGAATGGATACATTCCAGAGATTTTTATTTTCTCTCTAAGGTCTTTTTTGTTTTTGCATTATGGAAGTATAATTATTTTCTGTATCATTGTGGGAGGGTGTCATTTTACAAAAAAATCACTATAGTGAAAAATTGGCTTAAAAAAATTGATAACTTTGAAATATGTTTTTAAACATTTCTTTTCAAACTGGTTTCCAATTGACTTTCTTAAATCCTTTGTGCATGTATCTTTGGCAATACATTGGTTATTTTAGTAAATATACCTGATTCGTTTAAGAGTCCTTTCTTTATGTAAGACAATATTTCCCAATTACTCCTAAATAAGGATACATCTCCAAAACCCCCATACCTGCAAAATTATAGGTAAAATTACTCCCAGGTTTTAAAGACTGTCCTATATATACACATTGATAGAGGTAAGATATGCCCCAAGTTTCGAAATACAAAGGCGACACTGACTTTATATTTTTGAGTTGACTCTAATATGGAACATTTTGTTTGCTGAACAGATCTGTGATTTTGGATTGGCGCGGATTGAGGAGCCGGACGAGTCTATCCACATGACCCAGGAAGTTGTGACCCAGTATTATCGAGCCCCAGAAATTCTTATGGGGGCAAAGCATTATGGGTCAGGTGTAGATATATGGTCCGTCGGCTGTATATTTGCAGAACTGCTCGGACGACGGATTCTCTTCCAGGCGCAAAGTCCTATACAACAGGTGAGTAATGTAATTATAAAGAAACTATGTAGTATTGAAAACTGCATCGTTTTCTTACTGACACTGTGTTAATGAAAACTTGAGTGTGCACAATGGTTCTGATGAACACCATATCATATACAGGATTAACTTTTATAGTTAGGAATGGTTCTGATGACCACCAGGTCATATACAGGATTAACTTTTAGTTAGGAATGGTTCTGATGACCACCAGGTCATATACAGGATCAACTTTTATAGTTAGGAATGGTTCTGATGACCACCAGGCAATATACAGCATTAACTTTTAGTTAGGAATGGTTCTGATGAACACCAGGTCATATACAGGATTAACTTTTAGTTAGGAATGGTTCTGATGACCACCATGTCATATACAGGATTAACTTTTAGTTAGGAATGGTTCTGATGACCACCATGTCATATACAGGATTAACTTTCAGTTAGGAAAGGGTCTCATGACCACCAGGCCATAACTGTGTTTACTACAAGTTCCATGTTTTTGACCCCAGCTATATGACATAATCAGGTGTTGACTCTCCTAGGTGTTTATATATACTGGATGTTATATTCTTGTCTGCTGAGATCAAGGTGTATAACATATACCTTAAAGCCATCTGTTTTCCTGTCAGTCTCACCTCTACTTACCTGTGTTACCAGCTGTGTGTGACGGACAGTCGTTAACACAGGTGAGAGTGTACTCGCTGACCGGCCACTGCACGATAATGATGTAATGGAATTACATATGACAGATTGACGACTCTACTAGATTTAGTTATACGAAAGCAGCCATTGTCCTCAGAAACCCAGCCATTGAACTAGTAACAAGTGACATTATTGAATTGGTCCTCAAAAAACCTTGCATATATACCAGTTACAAGACATAATTTCCCTCTGAAACCAATAGTAATGATAAAACATGCTTTAATTAAGCTTAGGAATATCACATTGTATCTCTATACTAGACAAAAATTCATTTTAAGAAAAATGTGACATTTTAGTGTTTTACAAGAATGAAGTATTACCCTTTAATCCAGAAATTTTCTGCTTGGCATATCATACCAATTTTCTAAATTGTGATTTCGTGTAGAATAGATTTGTTAATAGACAATCAGGTTTATTCCAGCTTGTGTTGGTTATTTTTCCATTTCTTGTGCTAGAGGGGCTGTATGTTGAGGAGTGGATCAGTCCTTTTTTCCTTGTTGTAGCTAGTATGTGCCATTCCTCAGCTGTGGATCATACCATTAATAAAATTAGGGTTACTAAATCTCTGATAGTGATTGATGGATAGAGCCGCCTTCATAGGATTAATCCCTTGACCACAGCACACCCTGTTAGTCGCGGTTTAGTCCAGTGACAGAATTTGGTTTTATTGTGTGTATGAAGCCTTGATGATATCGTTAGTGCGGTAGCCTACAGAATGATCCAATCTCTGAGAATTGTCATTACAGAAGAATAGTGACCAGTCCAAGGCCAGACTGACCAGTCCATTTCAATAACACTAGCCATGGTTCATGCTACATTATTCTTCTGTGAACTGATTATTGATTTTGTAAAAGACCTCCACAAATTTATCTGAAAAGATGTAAGCCTCTTCTATATACCCAGGACTCTTAAAACTAGGGTTTGCATGGTAAAAAAGAAACTGTTAAAATTTGTACTGATGCTCCTTACCCATAGTGTTTTGTGTTTCACTCTCCTTACCCTTAGTGATTTGTGTTTCATTCTCCCTACCCATAGTGATTTGTGTTTCATTCTCCTTACCCATAGCGATTTGTGTTTCATTCTCCTTACCCATAGTGATTTGTTTCATTCTCCCTACCCATAGCGATTTGTGTTTCATTCTCCTTACCCATAGTGATTTGTGTTTCATTCTCCTTACCCATAGCGATTTGTGTTTCACTCTCCTTACCCTTAGTGATTTGTGTTTCATTCTCCTTACCAATAGCGATTTGTGTTTCATTCTCCTTACCCATAGTGATTTGTGTTTCATTCTCCTTACCCATAGCGATTTGTGTTTCATTCTCCCTACCCATAGTGATTTGTGTTTCATTCTCCTTACCCATAGCGATTTGTGTTTCATTCTCCTTACCCATAGTGATTTGTTTCATTCTCCCTACCCATAGCGATTTGTGTTTCATTCTCCTTACCCATAGTGATTTGTGTTTCATTCTCCTTACCCATAGCGATTTGTGTTTCACTCTCCTTACCCTTAGTGATTTGTGTTTCATTCTCCTTACCCATAGCGATTTGTGTTTCATTCTCCTTACCCATAGCGATTTGTGTTTCATTCTCCTTACCCATGGTGATTTGTGTTTCTTTGGAATCTGAGAAAAGGACTGGTCTGTGCCGACATGGTTATTTTTATGGACAAGACACTTGACCCTTTTCAATTTTGTTAGCATGCAAAGGGGCTCCTGTATGGTGTTCTGTAAGGTAGCAACCAGCTACTACAAGGAGACTCCACCTCAAAATGACCTATATACTGACAATATACTGGGCTGTTTATCAAATCTCCTTTATTATTTAACTTGCATTTTTGTATCTGAATAAAGTGGTGTTTAGAGAGGATTTCAAACAATTCTTGATCACTCTTTGTAAATTAGTGAGCGATAGAATGTTGATGAAGGACAACAATTTCCAATATCTTGAAAGTGAATTAATAAATATAAACGGTTACTGTTATCCAAAGCATATTTGATATAATATAGGTTATCATCATTCTTCTGGCTGATGGGTGATATAAATGTATTTAGTTGCATATTACATACCGCGAGACTGTCGTCACCACAAACAATTTATTAAAACATCAACTTTGATACGGAATATTTTGTGTCACAATTCTCCCTCTGTTATATCCTCGAATTATAAGTGACATTGAGTTCTCCGTGTGGCTGGATGTCTGTCGCTGTCGTAATAAAACAGGCCACTAAAAAGTTTCGATAATGGATGAAAATGATAGTCAACTTGTGTGTCGTAAGGACATTAATTGTGTCTCGCTTGACTGGCCAGGAGACAAGCTTCACCTAGCTAACAGCTGTGTCCCTATGACAGAACCTGTATTGGTGATGATCACGGAAGATATTGTCTTGAAAAGGAGCTGTAGTATTTTATATTGATAAATTTGAAGAGTTACAGTGACATAGCATAAATTGTAGGCTGATCATGATTGATCATTTCAAAGTTGGTGAAATTGATAACATTTGTCAATTTCAATTTGATTACAGATAAAAGTTTATAAAACCTGTTAAATTGACTATATTTGATTAACTGGATTTGCAATTTTTCTTGTTCTTTTTTTGAAGACTGAATGGTTCATCAAGTGAAACGGACAAAGTAAAATATTCTATGTATGTTTCTTGTGTATTAACTGGAGTTATACAGTGATAAGAAGGCAGAGAGATGATCATTCTGACAGTGGATTGATTCAAAGAAAGGCTTCTCCTATTTCACATAACTGACCTGGGCTGTCATCCTAGGTCATGTCAGGACATTAATCTGAAAATAGTCTATATTAAGAACCAGTTGTACAAGGGCCAGGTCATTCAGAATAATACTGTATTTACCTTTAATTGAATTGGTGTAAAATATTTTGCTCAGATTGAAAATAAAATCTATTTAGTTTTATGGCATTTTACAAAGAAATATGCAGCATTTTCTAAAACTGTATAAATTATGTTACTTAAATTGTTTCACATTTCAATTAAATTGTCATACATTTTTCTGAAATTGTTCTACATTTTAACTCAATCCGTCTGATATTTTACTGACTTTGTTCCATATCTTACCAATATTAAAGCAATTGAGGGCATATCTTACAAAATTGATATTTTCAAATAATTGTAACATGTAACAAAGTAAGTGTTATTGTGTAACAATTACCACTATTTTCAAATGATGGCACTCCAGAGCTTAAATTGGTTCTATAGTGTTTATCAATTGGAACAATGATATTTGACAATTTGCCTAGAATGTTTTGTTTTGATTGGATGTTGTATTGACAAGTACCATGCTGTTGTCCTGGTGGAGTCGTGCAGGTTGCCGACTCCCGGGCTTGTTGACTGACACTCATTCATAACTGTTGTATGATGGAAGGTAATAGTCAGTACTAGGTCATTGGCCAACTGGGTCATAGGTCAGTGACTGGTGGGACAGAACACATCAAATATAAAGGATAAACGAAAAGGCAGTTTACTGCTGTGGCCTGATGGGTGATCAGAGAGGTTTTACTTCTTGAGAACTATGGGTAATATGGGGGTTGGGGGGGTGGGGAAGGGGGTTGACTGTTATGGTTTTCTGGTTAATTTGGACAGAAGGGTTTACTTCTTTGGGTTTCTCGGTAATCTAGACTGAGGAGTTAATCCACCAGATTTGACCTTGAGGTTTATCAAAATTGTACAAATATATCAATTCTATCAAATCATTTCAAGATAAAATATCTTGGATAAAATTTGAATTTCCAGTATTTCCTTATCTTTTATGTCACTAAAAAATGTCATTAGATTCAAAATGATTCACTTTGAATACAAATGTTTATACTTTTAGGTCACCTGAGGCAAAGTCTCATGGTGACCTAATGCGATCGCCTTCATCTGGCAGAGTGAGGAGTGTGTCGTGCATCTGTAAACAATTTGATATTTTCGTCTTCATCTCAAAAATTCCTTATCCGAATTCAATGCAATTTTGCAGAAACCTTTCCTGGCAGAAGTTACAGCCAAATTGTGAATTATACAGTCTCCACCCCCAGGGGCCTGAGAGGCATGGCCAAAAGGGGTCAAATTTACTTCATTTTTCAAAAAACTTCTTCTCAACACCCAGATACAATAGAATCAAATGGTCTTCAAGGATGTATTAATCTTAAGGGGCTTTACAAAATCTTGTGAAATTCATGGCCGGAGGGTCTCACATTTCCACATTGGGAGGGAGTAAAGTTTACTATAGTTTATATAGGAAAACTAGATTTTTGAGCATAATTTGTTTAATTTCCATTGGAAATATTTCAAACTTGGTTAGAATTATGAGCGAAGGATGCCTATAATCATTGTCACAATTTCTGTTTCATGACACTGGATAACTACCCTTTAACCTCTATATTCAATATTGCTTGTTGTATTTTGTTTATGTTGGGATTTGGTGAACTTTTACACAGTAATCAATTTTTATCATTGTTAATCAAAATTTTTGTCAACAAAAACACCCCAGCATTGTTAAAAGGTTTGTCATAGATTTTGATTGTTGCAAAAAGAGCTGTGAAATATACAATAGTAACATGTGTAATTCATTATGTGTGGTAAAATGGTGACAAATGTTTACCTTAATTATCAAGTGTATTTTGTGTATTTAGAGAGGAAATAAACAAACTATCCTGGACTAAGTTATCTGGGTTGGTACTTGTATAGGCCAGTCCATGAATACTAGGTTGCTAAATTTTGCAGAATAATTATCAACAGATGGAGTACCAGTTTTCAGCTGTCTGAGTCACTAGCTCTGTACCCCTCAGCTAAAAATGGAACAGTTCAGATAACAAGTTGGTTGAGTCAATGCTGAATTTGTAGGGGAATATATATTTGGAGAATGTTCCAGGACCCAAGGAGATTTTGTGAAGATATGTGCCCTGTGGTGTAGGAATGAGGAATTCATGCTCCTGTGTCTCAAGGGGCCTGAACGGTTGTCTGTAGTCTTCTTCAGGCGAGACACATGAAAAACATACTTGTAGTAAAGGAGAGATTCACTGGACTGTGATTCCTTTTAAGTCTAGTTTGATACTTGGGGTCCTGTGTGTTGGACAGCAAAATGTGACGCCTCATACTGTGATAGGAGTTAGTATCACAAAGGGTCAGCATTGAAAAATATTGTCATTGTTAGAATTTATTGAAAGGTCAAAGGTCATCAAAGAAAGACTTCTAGGGTCTTGTGTTTAAAATCCATGCAGCAGTTTCTATTAGTTTATAATGCATTATGCAGGATATTGATATTTTCTTGTCAAATTCACAGGTAGCTGTATGGGAGGAAAGTAACACCTTGATGAACGTACAAAATCTTGCTAGATGCTACTTGCCCTTTGTCAGGAAAAAAGTAACTGTTGTACTGGGTATTTTTCAGGGTAACAGAAAGGTCAAAAAGCTGCTAACCTTCTAAACCTGTGGTTGGTTAATGAACCTTGTCACACCTGGACAGGTGTCTTTTCCAATGACCATTGTAGTCCAGTCTATTGCACTCAGTGTGACACCTTGCAGGCCGAGTGACCGCCTATAGCTGGTGGCTACCTTTGTAAACCAATGGGAGGTCCACCACTTTTCTTAAACATGAAACATTCAGCTTGGGAAACTGACAGCATAGAAAGAGACAATCAAATTTATCGGTCAGGGAGTTGCCTGTCCATGTCCAATATTGACTTGCAAAAGCTAAGATTAAGAGAAAAATGTTTATAAGATTTCATGTTTTGAGTTTTACACAAATTCTGGTTATTTCTGTCATAACAATTATTTCTTCATATTATAAATGTTATATAAAAAAATAATAAAAGTGAAAAACCTTTAAAAGAAAAAAAAGTCGGGCTGTGGCATCAGAAAGAAAGTATAATTCTTAACTAACAACATTATATGCTTTTACATGTATCTTGAATCGATCAGCGACAGAATGTGTGGTTAATTATTTGGGTGCAGTCTTTTGTTAATTGTATCATAATACTGTCTGACTTGGAACATGAATTGGTAGTCATAGGCAAACCATGTACGGGAACCTCATGAATCTTTACCTTAAGGTCAAAATTTTACCATCTGTGCAGTAAGAAACATAGATAATATTGATGGTGTGTGTATATATTTCTTTCTCTCTCTCTCTTTCTTTTTCTCTCTCTCCCTCAGTCTGAGCTGCAAAGAAAGTGGAGTTTGATTATGTTATGAGATTGAAGATGCAGTGAGATTTACTTCTTGTACCAAAGAACAGTGTTTCCTTGCTGGCTAAATCACTTGAATCGACAGATATTGTCTGTCTGGTTGTAAGATCTTGACAGCCGTTAACAGGCACATTTGGCCCGGAATAAATACCTGTAAACTTTCAGCCAAGCTTTCCTGTCGGTAGCACTTATGAAGCGGCTTTTGTAAATAGAGGTTGCCGTACAAAAATAAATTGCTGGTTTTAATGCCTCATTTTCCAGATTGATACACTCAAAATTTTCGTAGAAGGTTGGGGAGATGTATTGAGTATTGTAAGGCATGATAAGGGATTTCATAGACAGTTATATGTATATGTAGCAGGCCATATCAATTAAAACTGATATCACATTTCAGTCTGAGGGAAATATTTTGGAAAAGAATGCCACTATGAACTGTTAACATTTAATCTCATTTTTTTTTCTTTTTAATTAAACTTTTTTTAAGTCATAAAGCAAAATTTCTTAACATACTACCATTATACTAAATACATTTTTAACATTTTCAATACTTGTAGAATAAGGTCATATTTTGACATTCTGAAGTCTTTCTATGTTTTGCCTTTAATGTTCTGTAGTAGAAATTTAAATATAGTATGTAAAGTGAGGCTCCCGTCAAAGATTTGAGAAGCCCTGCAATTACATTGGAGCTGTGAGTTGTTTTCTTTATTCCTTGTCTTACGAAGACAAATTTAGACAAATTTCTCGAGTCAGTTTTTGTGTGATGGTTTGCCTGGTATAGAAGAGTCTCGGAGACTTGGTGGCCCACTGAGAGTGTAGGGGTTGTATTGATTTCGTAGCTTGTATAGATCTACAAGAAGCCTGCTGAAATAAGATTATTGTTGTCATCCGTTCTAACGGTTCTCGAAAGCCTGTAGCCAAATGTCTATATGCATATTGGTTGGTGCAGGAATTAATGTGTGTAATGAAAATTTATTTGACAAAGAGCTTTCCGGGGTAGTGTTCAGGAATTTCACCTTGACATTTTAGTAAAATTATCCTTCTTAAATTCCATTGTGACTTTTTTTTTATGCTCCCGAAAATTTTAGGGGGAGCATATAGCTGGGGCCTTGTGCCTTAATAAAACTGAAAAAGACAAATTTCCTGATCACAGGCCAGAAAAAGTTGTCTGACAAGTTATTATAAATTCTAGAAAATAACTCTCACTAGTTGCTTTACCATGTAGCTTTTAAATGACATTTGTTTAGATAATTGCAATTATTTTTTGGTGACAGGACTGAAAATGTTTGTCTTGTAATGTTAGACAGTATGATGATGATATCACATTGAGAGTGGTATTATGTGTAATTCAATCCTTTGTAATGATTGAAAGAGCCTGATATTCTGAGACTGATAGGTTTTTGTTTCCCACAACCTTGAAGAACTGTACAAAAAGTGTTTATTGATTCTTTCTAACCATGACTACCTGTGGTATATCTCATTAAATTAATTTGCGAGATGTAGCACATTAAAAAAAGGTTCATAAGCATTTGCTTCTTTTTCCATTTGAAATGGAAATATCTTAGTATCTTAAAATAAAAAAGGAAAAAACACATGTGAAATGATCAAAGGATTGAATCATGGGAAAGATCAAAAGGATTATAAGGCCGAGATCCATTCTTTACCTTGAAATGGAATTAATTAAGATGACACTTTATACAGTCTCAATCAGAAACCTGTCTCCTGATATTGCAGCTGGAACTTATCACAGACCTGCTTGGCACACCCTCCATAGATGACATGAGGACGGCCTGCGACGGTGCAAGGGCACATTTAAGGAGACAGCCCCACAAACCGCCCTCACTAGCAGCTCTCTACACATTGTCGAGTCAAGCTACCCACGAGGCGGTGCACCTCCTGTGTCGCATGCTTGTCTTTAACCCCGTAAGTACCCAGAACTTCAGACAGCACCACATAGGTGAAAATGTTGGTAGTAGATTTAAGTTTGTCATTAGTGATACTTTTTCCTGAAAAAGGCAAGAATACTTTAACACTGTATTGTAATCTATGTGAATGTGTGTTAAGGTAAACATTGTTCTTTTAGAGGTGTTTGTAGAATTTTGACAACATCGTGTTCTGAGAAATTTAAACCACTCAAAATAATTTCCGCTTGGACATTCATGAAATATTAGCCCTGAAAAATCATACTGCTACATACAGAGTAACGTGATATTACTTACATTTGAACCTCTTCAGCCAACCAAGTACATGAAATTTTCTCAATAATAGGTATTCTAAAGATAAGGCTAAAAAAATTCCTCTGCTAAAGATAAACTCAAAAAATTTATTTCGTCTTTGTGTCTCTAATATCTTTCAAAATATCTATCTAGCCTATCTCTCAAATTAGAAACTGACACAATATTCAATATGTATAAATGTCCTTTGTTTACAGAAAAAACGTATCACGGCAGCAGATGCCCTAGCTCACCCGTACCTAGATGAAGGACGTCTACGTTACCATTCGTGTATGTGTAAATGTTGTCTCAACACCAACTCCTCAGGGCGCCAGTATACCTCAGACTTTGAGCCTGTGTGTCACCAACCGTTCAGCTACACATTCGAGGATGGTCTAACGTCTGTGAGAGTAGTCAAAGGTTTGTATGGATATCATGTTAGATGAAGATAATGATATTTTACACTTGAAATATCTCTACACAAAAATTTTGAGCATTGTAAAAGATGTGGATTTGGGTGTTGTGAAAAGGTGTGTAAATGTGTAAAAAGAAATATTGGAAAGAATTATATATGAAAATTTAAATAAAGTATGAGTTCCTCCCTAACCTTTATCATTTTCTTGCAGAATAAATACAGTGCATATTAATATGAAAGATAAAATTGTTCTACAAAACCCTTAAATACATTTTTCTCAGAATGTAAAATTTCCAAATCTCCACTTCATTGTTGAAACAAAAACAATCAAGTAAACAAAAAAATAAACCAATCTATGGTTAAAACATTGTAAAACTGACTTCTAGATCGATTTGATTATTGAAGTTGACAATGATTGGGATATATTGTTTTTTTCATCGTAACTCTAGGGTTCTAATTGTGATTACAGTGTGGAATCTGTTTTTTTCTTTCCAGAAAAATTACACAAATTCATTTTAGAACAGCAGCAAGGCAATTCGGTGCCATTGTGTCTCAATCCAAACTCTATATCATACAAAAGCTTTGCAAGGTAAGTAACTCTGTTAAACAAATGATATATTCATTACTGTAAAATGCAATAGTTTCACCTGGCACAAATTTCGCTTTGTAACCATTTTAAGCATTTCAAAGTCATATTTTTTTGCAATGTCTAGTTTTACAAGAGTTTTCAAATAACTGATACAGGTATGATGTTTTTGATGATTCATTATGTGAAAACATGGTGAAATTTACCATTTTACAGTTTTGAATGTTAATTGCATACCCAAAGTCAAACATTTCCTTGGTTTGAAAAAGTTTTCGATTCCCTTGGGATTTGTTGATGTCTTACAAAGTTCTTCTCACTTCATCCAGAAACATTATCATTTGCAGGGCATTTGTTTTTAAATAAATTGTTAGCCATATCTTTCAGCAATCAAAAATTGTATATATCAAATCAATGTCATAATTTCTGATTTTTTCAGAATTCAACATCGGAGGAATTCTAGGGGTCTTCCTATTTACCTTATATGTGACCTTTGGCCTCCTTAAGCCACACCCCCTCCTTTTTTTTAAAAGAGTTTGCAAATAAATTGTTGTATACCATAACTGATATATTTACTGCTAAAAATCTGAGTTATTGTAATCTTTCTGCAGTGCAATTTCCTGCTTCTTTTCCCCTCATCAATATAGTTGTAAATTCTCTCAAAACTTTTTCTTACAAGGCAACCCTTTAGGATTTTCATGTTAACAAATCAGAAAGTATTGGGTTTGTGTGTGTGTTTTTTAGTTTTCAAAGCATTTTTATGCACAGTTTCATTTATCTTTCATCACGTTATTTATTTTTTAGCTCAGTTACACAGATTTCGTCAATAGTTTGTGCTTATCTGATATTTGTCACTTCTTTAAAACAGATAAAAAGGAATTCTGAGAAAAACGAAAGGTTAAGATAAGTGTTACGAGGATTGCTATTTTCATTTTTGTGATTTTTTTTCGTCAGCAGTATTTTTATCCTGATGATTGACTGTTTCTATTTAACCTCTATAGGGATCCGCTATCAGACCGAGACAACGTGAAGAGGGGCCACTGACCCGTAAAAGTGAGATATTTCCGTCTTGCCGCCCATTTTTCAGATATTCTCCCAATGGGCATGCCCAGTGCACACTGGACTCCATCATAAAGGGTTGCTCATAGCAGTGTCACATTGGTTTTTTCCCTGTTCATACTTTTCCAAATGAGTTAAAATGCTTTAAAACAGTGGATAAGATCAATTTCATTTATTGAATTGATTTTTGTTTCCTTGCTTTATTTTTTTTTCAATGTTTCCTCAAATTTTTTTCTGCATGCTTGTTGACTGATTATATGCACTTCCAGTTGTGGATATTAAATAACATTTTATAAAGAAAAAAAAGGAAGAAATGAAGATGCATTATGCATTCAAGGTCAGTTTAATCAAATTGTTCTAGAGCCAATTTTGTATCCTTCTTTGATGATAATTTTCAAAATTATGTATCTATATTACGAGAAGTTGTTTGAGCCAATTTTTCAGATCTTGATAGCTAAGCCTGATTCCTTTATAGCTTGTACTGAACAACATTAAGTAACCTTATAATCCTTGTCTGGTGTGCACAGGGCTCTGTTCATGGCTGAATACTAAGGCTGTTCATGATTGCGTGCTGTCCCCGATTCTTTGAGCTTTGTCATGTTGAGTCAATCCCACTGACCATTGTATTTGTGTGTGGTGGCATATGGATGTTCAATTAATATCTGCAAGGAGAAAAAGTAATATTATGGTCAATCAGTTATGTGGAATGAAGGAACAAAGATTCAATGCAGATTTATTGAAATTCATACGTAAAAAAAAATTTGGTAAAAGCGATTGTTTAAACATTTCCTGCATACATTTTTTTCCCCATTTTTTTTTCTCTCTCTCTCTGTCTCTCTCTCACTTATTCCTTTATTTCTAATTATTGAATATAATTGAACCTTTTTCCCCTTTTACATCCTGTCATTCCCAAAATTGATTTGACCAAAGTTTTTACAATATGGGCGGTTAGAGTGATCTCCCTTACAATGTTGCCCCTCTTCCTCCTCAGTGACATGTCATGATTTCCTGTTTGCAGAAATGATTTTACTTGTAGTTGTTGTGATATTTTGTCCGTTTCCATGTTTTTAATGCATTTCACATATGAACACTTTATTTTCTCTGATTGTACAGTGTCCAAATAATAACTTTGTCTTCATCTTTAATATGGTATCTTTATGGTTCTGAAGTAACATAATATTGGTGTTTATATTTTAAGCCTTGATGTGGAAAGTCTACAAATTAAATGACCAGTTTCCAATTGAAAAATAATAGCAAGGGGTCTAAAAGAAAAATGATTATCTTAAGATCCAGCTGTAAATATTGTTAATCTGATTATATGGGTTTGTTACAAGAAGAAGCAATGTAAAAGTTTTTTGAGAGGGAGGAGAGAGAGAGAGAGGGGATGGTTATATTTTTCTCTAATTTCTCTTTTATTTTTCAATAATTAAAAACCTACAAAAAGGGTACTAATGACAAAGGATATTTTACTTCCCAGTAATAAGCTGACCCTTTAGCTATAGAAATTAAGTAGAATCACAGACAAAGAATATTGTACTGTTCTGTAGTAAGCCGACCCTTTAGCTATAGAAATTAAGTAGAATCACAGACAAAGAATATTGTACTGTTCAGTAGTAAGCTGACCCTTTAGCTATAGAAATTAAGTAGAATCACAGACAAAGAATATTGTACTGTTCAGTAGTAAGCCGACCCTTTAGCTATAGAAATTAAGTAGAATCACAGACAAAGAATATTGTACTGTTCAGTAGTAAGCCGACCCTTTAGCTATAGAAATTAAGTAGAATCACAGACAAAGAATATTGTACTGTTCAGTAGTAAGCCGACCCATTAGCTATAGAAATTAAGTAGAATCACAGACAAAGAATATTGTACTGTTCAGTAGTAAGCCGACCCTTTAGCTATAGAAATTAAGTAGAATCACAGACAAAGAATATTGTACTGTTCAGTAGTAAGCCGACCCATTAGCTATAGAAATTAAGTAGAATCACAGACAAAGAATATTGTACTGTTCAGTAGTAAGCCGACCCATTAGCTGTAGAAATTAAGTAGAATCACAGACAAAGAATATTGTACTGTTCAGTAGTAAGCCGACCCATTAGCTATAGAAATTAAGTAGAATCACAGACAAAGAATATTGTACTGCCCAGTAGTAAGCCGACCCATTAGCTATAGAAATAAAATAGAACTATTGACAAATAGATTTTCCTTGTCTTGTAATAAGTCTCCATCCTGACTTTGAAAATTTTGAGATTTTTTCGTCAGCCCTGGAATTATTTACAGGAAAAAATTCAGTTGTACCATGATCAGTATGTTACAGGTGGGTGGAGATAAATTGGTGTGACACAAATGGTATTTTCATTTTAACAAATACTTGCATGCATTTCTGCATTCCTGTGCTATAATGTTTAGATGCCAGGCTAACCTGGATTTTTTTTTGTGTTTTCCAGCTCCCAAGTGGCCCAGCCATCAGAACTCCCGCCGTCTCCTCATGCCTGGGATTAGCCCAAACCTCCTCATTCATTTCATCAATGTCATCGTCTTCATTGTCATTACAAACTTGAGCCAGGACCAAAGTGTGAATGTTTCATTCGACCAATCATTGGATGTACAATTGTGTTTGTTGACTAGAAGGCAACAGCCAGTGAATTCCACTCATCTCTGTTAGATAGTTGTATTATAAAGATTTTGGTGCTCACAGATTATACAAGTTGTGTGTATAAGTATTGTTGTGTAATAGTTATAATAATCAGGCAAAACACTGTTTGACAGTGAATCCATTCTTACTGTTTAACAGTTTTTGTGACATTCAAACAAAGATTAATATGTGACAGTTGGTTTACTATCAATGATCCTATTATTGAAATCGTTTCATTAATTCAGAAAATTGAATGAAGATTGCATTCTTCTATATTTTTAACCTGAAGGAACCCAAAGTTATTTTGTTGTCAAACAGCATAGCTGTAATATATATTCTCTTATAAATAGATAAATTGAGGTTACACTAAAATATTACACAATAATCTTTCAAATTATCTCCCCTTATTTTATTGGGTGTTTGCTCCCTTCTCGAGAAAGTACAACCCTCTGTCACATAATTACCTGGAAAGGATCTCAATCAGTTGGACTTCAACCCAGATGTGGACATAAATTTCTCCCCAGATTTTAGCTTTTGGAAAAAAATTCAGAAAAATATCTCTTACTACATTTTATAGCCATTGCCATGGTTTCAAGAGGAAAAAATCCTCAGAAAAATTAGGATTGAAAAAGAAACAACAAAACTTAAACATCCTTTTGTGAGTTTCTAAACCAGATATTCCAACGTATGCAGATAATTTGATCTTTTACTGAGAACTTGTCCAGAATTTTTCTCGTGTGGACCGACAAGCTGAGTTGAAGTCCGACTGCAATATCTATATCATCTTTATAACTAACGGTGACTCACATATCAGTGGCATGATCTCCACCTGTTTGTGGTTTATCAAGATTTATCTCCCCTTGTTCTAGTGTCTAGAATATAATGGGACAGACCACCTACACAAAGATCTGTTAGTCATTTTTAAAGTGCATTCAACATTCGTCTTTGCAATGAATAAGTGTCAGCTGAGTTGCAGTTGATCACCTTAAGCTCTTCATAAATATATTTCGTGAATGAAAGGTCAGAGGTTCCGATTTTATGCCCTGGATGAGGACTTAAGCTGTGGTATTGATGGGATTGTGCCAGTATCTTGTGTAACCCAGTGTTTTGTGAAAAATCACACATACTTTAAGGATGTTTTCCATCTTGTACATTTACAAATAAGGACTATTTTCGACAGACTTGTGTGGCTTCAATAGTGATTATACACAATTTGTTAGGTTGCGTTTTTACTCCAACGGTACAGATTTTTGAAATATTTGAAAAACAATGTCCAAGATTTATGTGTGAATCAGGGTTGTTAATCTGGTGCAACATGCCTGTCTACAAGGTAGATTGTGTGCATGGGTGTTGCTTGGTATTTTTGCTGCTTTATAAAAATGGAGACTTTGGTTGATGTTATTCGGTTGGAACTCAGTGTGGGGACTTGGCACCAATGTAATCTCCTCTACAATATTTATAGAAAAATTGATACGCATGACAAAATGATTGGTGACATTGCTGGTATGTACCAGAGGTCAAGAATCTCATCCTATTGGTATGTCCTAGTCAGCCATTTTATCTTTCCCCGTGTTTGCCGTATCAGCAAACTGTTAATTAAGATCATAATGAATATTTGTCCAAGACATTTGACCTTTTTTTTTCTGCTTTCTTTTTTCTCTTTTTTTTATATATATATTTTTTACTTTTAGTAACTTTTAATTCCAAATCTCTGTATTACTTGAGATATTAAGATGAAACATTCATCCCCACGTTTACAAAGTGGAATGTTCCATAACATTAAGTCTGGTCATTCCAAAGAGGACAGCAGTATTGGAAGGGTGAAACGAGAACTATACAACACAATTTCTCAATGGCATTTAGGACATGGAGCAGTAGTGTTGTAACTTGACCAAATATCATGACGTCGTGTGAGTCTTGAGGACAACACCAAATACCATGTATGATATTATATAACTTGAATGTGATATGTAATTACTTTATTTATAGAAACTGCTTGAGCCAATGATAAAATCATGACAAATGGGTAAGCTTTAACAAAATGCCAAGCCTTGCAGGAAAGTAGGTACGAAGTGATGATGCCTGTCTCTAGTTTCACAAAATGTACCTTAACTTATTTCAAATTTCAGAACTTCCCCTTGGAAAGTCAACAAGAAGTTAGGAGATATCTTCTTTAAAAAAGAATTTCCTTCCTTCTAAAATAATTTGTATGGAAGTAGTATTTTGAAGTAGTTCACAAACAATTTAACTAGAGCATGAAGACGTACGTGTTTGGAACACACCAATATGTCGATACACTTTAATTTTTCTTGGTGTAATAGGTACTGTGACTCCCCTTGAAGGTGTTGTGTTATTACAAGTCCTCGCCTAATGATCTCACATGGATAAAAATGTATATCTCACTTTTTACTATAACAATTCCCTCTATTTCATCCATAGTATGACATTTATTTTATTTCTTATTTTTGTGTTTGTCAAATGTATTCTTAAAATGATGAGACTGTGTACAAAGTTATCAATACCTTAATATTTTTGTGTCCAAGTGTGTATGATATAATGAAATATTATATATACGAATGTACATATGAATTATAGAAATCAAAAAGGGGAGACAACTCTGAAATCTTTAACCAAAAGTTTTATATATTTATTGTCTTTTTTTTTTAATCAGACCACATATGCATATTGGATTTATTGTAAATGTCGTGGTATGTAAATACCTGTACTTTAAGCCAGTAACATAGTGTAGCATGTCTTTCTATCATCTAGAAAATTGACTGCTCAGAATTTCCAAGGTTGTTGTATGAAAAGATGTATATAGCTGTAGCAGATCAATACCATTTTATGTAAAATATCTTTGCCTTGGTTGTAATTCATTCTGATATAAGCCCATGGAGCCAAAACATAACCCTGCTACAAATAAGGAAATTGAATAGTTCATTTGTCCCTGTATTAAGATGGGCTGATTGCTAACCATGGGCTTATTGCCAGATAGATATTTTTCTCTACCAACAATGTATTGACAAAACGCAAAATATTCCTGTGCTTCTTACAATTTTCCAGCAACTGTTATATGTCAGTGGGTTTTTTTTTTTAACGAAAAAGACCATTCTTTTGTCTTATGTAACAAGTGAACCCCTATCTTTTTTCAATGAATAGATATTATCTTCTACATTCTCCAGTTCAGAACATCTGCTTATCTCAGGGAAAATAAAGCATACTGCAGGCTTCAACACACCTCCCCCCCTTACCCTTCTGTTTTCTGTTTTATTAACTAGATGCAGCCCTTGTATATTTCTATTTTACATTTTTGATGTTCTCCACAGAACTCACAATTAGGTGTGAATAAGATACTTGCTTGATGGGTGTAAATGCTGCTAGGTATCCTATGCATTTTGGTCTAAAGGGTGTTTGTCTACAACCTTATTTTTTACATTTCTACCACGATGTGTTTTGCAAGCCAGCAGTCTTACAGACAGCTTATATAGTTTTTTTTTTGTTTTTTTGTGACTATTAGGGGTAATTGGTTGTGCAATTGAATGTCTTATCACTGCAAGAATTATATGTTTGATAATCAAAGTTTGTTGTACATTCAAAAAAGTTTGTCTCTATTTAAGAAAAAAATTTGTCAGGGTTTAAATGAAATTTGTCCAATTGTTTAATTGTGTAAATAGTAGTTTCCATGACAAGAACATATCTTCGAGTTTTATGTAGCATGACCAACCATCGACCAATGGATGAACCACCAATGAATGAGCCGGCTCCCAGTTTGTTGAATCCATACTTTAGGAACATTTTTGTCCCTCCCGGCGGCCAGGTAACTGATAATTTGGGAAACTGTGGATTGGCAGTTCATCTGATCTTTTAGAAATTTTTTACACATAGGTGCATTCCATTATACCAGTCACCGACTACCTTTTTGCTAGAAGTAACTACACAACGATGTTTAGTAAGCAAGTTTTTTTCTGGAACTTTATTAAACTAGGAATAAATACTTTCGTTTCTCAATCAGTTATGTGGTTTTGTTTCTATTTTATTAGCAACAGAAAGAATTTAATTTATTTTGTAGTCACTAGTATGTTGGTGCACATTTTTTGTTGTCCTTGATAAACCCACTCACTGAGTTTACGATTGACCTTATGACACGCAACACTGAGTAAGATATAGTAGGGTGCAAATTTTAAAATAAAAGTTTGAATCAGAATTCTCATCTCAGAAAACTGAACATATAGACATATAAATTGTCAGATAATCTTTTACAGATTTCAAGAACAGAATTTATCGGGGTTTTTTTTGTTTTTGTTTTTTTTTTTTTTTTGGGGGGGGGTTTTTTAATTGTGAAAAGGCAAAATAAGCATAGTAAATTATGAGGCCATTCAATCCAAGTTCTAGAAACATAAAAAACAAAAATGATGGGAAAGGATTATGATCTGCATTTATCATGTTAAGGAGGTGACAACTCTTATTGTCTCATCGGCATTGAGACTATATATATACATATATATATATATATCTATAAAAACCTATATATTATAAACATTGTACAGTTTTTATGTAAATAAGCAAAGGTCATTCCACAAATCAATGTGTTTACTTGTATATCTAATATTTTTGTCAATGGAATGTTTCTAATTGTGCATGTTCGTGGTTGTACAGGGTCACGTTGGTTGACAAGGTGAGTTTGTGTTCGCGTGAAGAGAAACAGGCACTGTCGTATAATTTTTTACTTTGATTAAAATGATAAGCATTAGAAGTTAATTTGAACAGTTATAAATAACATCAATGCAATTTTATGTAATTTGTGGAACATGTGAAAATAAATGGTTAAATCTTTAAATTGCATAAACAATTGCTAAAATTGAAAGATAAGATCATTTTCAACTGAAAACAAAAAGGCAATAATGTGGGTTAACTTTTTTCTCCTGTATTTCTACAAAACCTCACAATTTTGATTTGTTTTTTTTTTTTACGATTCTAAAATAAGATCACAACATATCTTGAGAATTGGATACTGTGCCTGGGATAACGTGATTGTGTAAATATTTATAGAAATGTCAAGATGAAGTTTAGTAACAAAGTGGAGTACCTCTCCCAATGTCTAGACAAAGCTTTGATGTCCGTGTTATTAAATATAATAAAAATGTAAAAAAATGTTCAAAGAAGGGTAGACAACTC